CAATGGCACTGGGTTTTGATCCTACTGCAAGTACTGGCTTTGTGGGAGCCTAGGCAGTTTGGATGCTCACCTTACTAGACCTGGAAGGAGGTGGGAGGTCCTTGGACTTCCCACAGGGCAGGGAACCCTGATTGCTCTTTGGGCTGATGAGGGAGGGGGACTTGATTGAAGGAGAGGGAGGGAAATGGGAGGCGGTGGCGGGGAGGAGGCAGAAATCTTTAATAAACAAATAAATTAATAATAAAAAACAAAATAATCTTTTAAATTTTATGTTAAAGCTTAACTTAGATGTACTGAATAAAACATTTAACAACAATTAGTAATTAGAAAAACAGGTCAGGGTTTTGACTTGCTAAATTTCCCATTTTATCAAAGTCATGTTTTCTTTAGAATCCTTCTGGGAAACTATAAAAAGGCAAATGAATTATAAAAACACTGTGTGCCCTTTTTGTTGGAGTTATTCAAAGAAAAATGATGCTCTCATAACTAATTTAACGACAAGAGACAATAATAACTTTATCTGTTACAGTGTGCAAGAAATCTATAACTAACATAGGAACATGCTTAGGCACTTGGTAGTAGTTGTTACCTGAGGCACGGGATGCTGTCCTTCGTCACCCCTTCACTAGACACAGTATTGGTGCTTCCGGAAAGACTCCTTGAAGAGGGGAGTTGAGAGGAGAGATCTGGAAATGGAGGACTTGTTTCTGGTTCAGGGGTGATAATGTCTTCAACATCACACTGAAGTCGTACTTCTAATGACTAAAAAAAGTCAGATTTTAATTTAGTCTAAGTTATAATAATAATAGTAACTACATTAATATATGTGAGAGTTTTTAAACTATTCTTAAATTTTAGACCAGTAAATTCAGTAACTTACACTTTGAGAATTATTTTAAGCTGAATTAAGGAGTAAATTATATGAACTATTCAATGACAATGACCAAAAAACCCCATACTTTTTAATTCCTCAAATTGATAAGCAAGATGCCTACTAGTGAAAATAAATTCTTATATAATAAATATTCCTGTGATTTCTCAAACTTGTTTTGTCAACTTGACATAAACTAAAGTCATGTTGTAAGAGGGAACCTCAACTGAGAAAATGTCCCCCAACAGATTGGCATGTAGGCAAACCCCTGGGGTATTTTCTTATCGATTGACCGGGGAGGGCTCATCCCACTGTGGGTGGCGCCAATTCTGGGAAGGTGGTCCTGAGTTATATAAGAAAGCAGGATGCCTCAGTCTTGGGGAGCAAGGCAGTAAGCAGTGTGCCTTCACTATGTCTGTATCTGTTCTAGCCTACAGTTTCACACCCTGCTTGCGTGAGTTGTTGCCATGACTTCTCTGGTGGATGACAACATCTGGAAGTGTAAGTGAAATGAATTGTTTCCTCCCCAAGTTGCTTTTGGTCATGGTGTTTAATCAAAGTAATTGAAACACTAACTAAGACATTTTCTTATGATAAATTATATGATAGATGATTAAAATAAAAGGAGGAATTGACAGTTCTCCCAATGAAAGAAATTTAAACAGATTTATAAAAAGTATTTAATTTATATTGTAGCATGTACATTTTGATATCTAAAAGTAGATTAAAATAATATTCATATGTCATGAACACAGCAATATTACTGAACTTATTACAATAGCAATCTCTAAACCACCAGAAGCTTTTTGACTGTGACAGTCTGAGTATGTGTTATTGAGTACTTACTAAAAATACACAGTGCTGATTGCTACAACACCACTATAAAATCCTGATAAAATTAGCTTCAGTATTTCCACTTTGCTTTTATGTTTCAATTGCCATTTTTACACAAGAAATTACATATGTATGAGTATATATTGTACCAAGATTCTATTACTGCCTATTAATTGCTCAGAGCTATACACACACACACAGAGATAATCAATGGTAAAATTAGGGTTGTGATCCCAAACCCTAGTCTTTCAGTATACAGTAAAAGAAAAATTAATTTTAGTTGAAGTAAAAACACAAAAAGTCCTCTATGAAATAATCTTTATATTCTGGTCAAAAAGGTAAATTATATATATAAATTATAGATATATTAACTTAGATGTAATTCATCCATAGTAACATCATCATTTTGCATAATCAGAATTTTGTGTAATGAATTTAGAAATTAAAAATTTGGTAATAATTATTTTTAACCATATAAAATTTTAGTATATAAAAAACTATTTAGAGTAACATTATAGTTGAGAAATAATCATTTATGACAGCTAGTTAACAAGAAAACATAATGCATTTACATTTTTAAAAGAACAAAGTCTACACTAAATTGACACATATACAGAAAGCAAAACTCTACACTATCTAATTAAATCCATATATGCATATACATGTTTATATCCTATACAATACCTACTTTAAATGTGTTATACACTATAATAAGGAATTTTTCTTTATAAGTAAGAATAATGCTGATATTATATTGACAATTAATATTTAGGAATTGACTTTGTTCAGTCAGGTAGATACAAAATTGAAGAGAACAACATGATGTTCAATTTGTAATGAGATTAATTTTAGATAACAAGTTCATTTTGACACTGAAGTTTTATTAGAAAGCTGTTAATTTGAAACAAACTACTTTCTAATACACTAAGTAATAGTAATTTAAAATACTATAGAATATATAGATTTTATGCTGTCTTTTGATTACTTAAAAACCATACCAAGCAATAGTTCAAATACATAATTGCCTTCTTTTAGTGACTATAAATAGGAAAGTTAAACTTAGAGTAACTTACCACAATTTCTGTTGTAATTTCATGTCTGCTGAATTTATAAATTATGACATACGCAGAGACTCCTGATACACAAAATATTCTGCTCTCTGGACACCAATAAACCATCTGCACAGCAAATGGATCTTCCTCTACAATTTCACACGCTTGTTTGCCATCTCCTACCTTCTGCTTTTCAAATACTTTTGAAGTTTTTAACTTGTACAACATCTGCAGAGTCACTATAAAATATTAAAATGCAGTTATCCTAATTTGATTTTAATTCTTAGACATTGTTCAAGTTTAGTCAGTACATTTGAACCCACAAAAGTAAAACTCAAGTAGGGTAAATCCTGTTTACATAGCAAACCCCAAGGGTCAGGCCCTCATTGTAAGTACTATCAACAGGGAAATTATAAAGAGAATGAGAAAAAGCGTGTATGAGCATTGAAATTATAAAAGCTTATAATGGAAATCAGAACACAAACCTCTCCCAGGTAGCACGTTGCCATGTTTTTTTCACAATAATATCTGCAATTGCCTGATAAGAGGTTGATATAATATTTTAGATTTTTTTTTTAGACAGAATTCTTTACTTGTTTTAGGAAAGATTTCATCTGGTGTTTCTAGTTTAGAAATTTTTACTCAGGGGAAGTTATTTCCCTTCAGAGCACAATAAAAACAGAATTCCCCATACAAAATAAAAGATTCTTGCTCTGAGAATGGTCTTGAAGAGTTTCAAAAGCCAGAAGCTCCTGCGAGAAGGGCACAGCTTGGCTTTAACAAGAAGCAGTATTCAGTCCAGTCCAAAGCAATTCTATAAAACAATTAGCCTGCACTTTAAACATTGTCAGCGACATGAAATATTTGGGCTCACTCTACACTTTAAAGACCTTGAAATATGACCAGATTAAAAACAATGATCCTTTCTAGTTGTTGCTATTGTAAAGGACATCATTGAGATAGCTGGTAAACGCTGAAATAGAAACTGTACGTTAGACAACATCTTTGTGTCATATTAGTCTGGTGTGGGAAGTCCTGTATATGTGTTGCTTTTATTGGTCCATGAATAAAGAAACTGCTTTGGCCTGTGATAAGGCACAATAAAGCTAAGGTTGGGAAAACTAAACTGATGCTGGGAGGAAGAAGGAAGAGTCAAGGAGATGCCATCGAGCCACCAGAGGGGAAAGACCTGAGCTGCTAGCTGGAACCTTGCCAGTTAGTCCATAAGCCTTGTGGTAAAATAAAAACGAATAGAAATGGGTTAATTTAAGATATAAGAGTAATCCAGAAATATTCATAAGCTGATTGGCCAAGCAGTGATTTAAATAATATAGTTATTTTGGGTCTGAGCTGCTGGGGACGAACAAGAGGCCTCCTACTACATTAGTCAGTTTTCTTGTATTCCTTATTTTCATGATTCTTGCCTCCTGGTTACATTCGCAGAAACAAAGTATTGCTAAGTTGTTTTTCTCTTCCTATTCTTAACTGTCTAAGGAAGTGGTTCTCAACCTGTGAGTCTGTGACTCCTGGGGGTTGATTGATGATTTTGCACGGGTTGCATATCAGATATCCTGCATATCAGATATTTATATTCCAATTCATAACAGTAGGAAATTACAGTTACGAAGTAGCAAATGAAATAATTTTATGGTTAAGGGTCACCACAACTTGAGAAACTATACTAAAGAGTCGTGGCATTAGGAAGGTTGAGAACCACTGGAGTTTTAACTACCTAATAAAAAGTTCAGATTAGCTGTTAATTCCTTAAAATATGTTTCTACCTGGGCTGGTGGTAATTGTAATCCTAAAAAGTGATTGGCTGAGGCTTGAGGGTCGTAGAGGCCAGAATAGGTTACCTAAAACTATTCTGTCTGAAAAATAAGTAACACATACATATATAATCTTCCTTGAAATTCACTAGTTCAAATAAACCTCTACAATTTCTTATTAAAATAGCAGTTGATTACAATACATTTAGATTTTTCTTAGTTTGATATGTATTTATACATGTGCATTTCTTTTACTTTTCTTACAACCATGGTTTGTGAATGACATATGGGTAAAATGAAGACTTAGGTAAGTTAATAGGTCTTTCCACATTGACCACATGCTATTCCTTAAATTACCTAATTGTCAAAAATTAAAAAGATATTTTATGTTATCAAATAATTTATAATGTTCCATTGGAATCAACATAGAATTGAATAGGGAAGCTGAGAACAGAGGAATAAAAGCACTGTCATATAATATGCATGTAGGACACAGAGGGAATTCCTTGAACAATTAATCTGGCAAAGCTTGGCTATTTTCCTGATGTAACTTTTTTTTTTTTTTTTGCACAGGATTGTTGAAAGAGTGGCCATAGTCTTGTTTATTTAATATTGTTGAATACAGTTAGGTAGATATACTTTAAGCTGATCTAAAACACAGAAAATGAATTTTGTATCAAAACAATATAATTGTAATTATGCTAATATATTTCTGAAGTGGCAATTTTTCAAAATTAAGTGGTAGATGGCCATGAATAAATATTAACAAAATGTTTTCTGTTTAATGGAGATAAACATAAAACTTACTTGCAGAGGCATCCCAAAATTTTATTGATCCATCAGCATGACTAGATGAAAATAACTTAATATTAATTAAAGTAAATCAAAAGCCATTCTAAATATATACAACACTGAGTTATTATTGCTATCATTATTTTTAAAATGAATATTGATATATGACAAACCATTTCTAAGCTTAAAATGGTTTTTAAAAAGATATATTGGGAAAAGACAAGATTTCCTGTGTAAATTGGTAGTATGGGGGTCATAGGAGAGGGTAGAGGGGAAGAGGGAAGAAAGGGAAGTGGAGAAAATGTATAGTCCATTAAAAGCAATTAAAAAATATACACTGTACTCTGAAGACAAGAGAAAGAAAAATCTTTGATTTTTTTCTGGAAGATTATATATATCATAGTGAATAGTAAAATAGCTTATGAAATGAAATTGAACATTTAATAAAAAGATAACTTGAATATTTATCAGAATATAAAAGCAAATATTTAAACTGATTAAAATTGTCATGATTAATAATTTCTACCAATTTTATACAAACTTATCTACAAAACAAAGAGTCCACAGTACTTCCCAATACATTTGGGAAAGTCAGAATTATCTGAAACCAAACTCAGAAAAAAATATTGTGGGAAAAAAGATTCAACAGTATCTTACTAAACATAGACAAAAAATTATCAAGAAAATATGAATGAGAGAGAGAAACAGAAAGTGTAATTCCTTATAACCAAAAACGTCTTAGGAATGTAAAACCAATCAAACATTTTAATAAAAATCATTTGGCAAACTCTAATTATCCAGAATGAAAACCTAATTATCCAAAATAAGAAAATCCATTTGGTTATTCCAAATGATGCAGAAAGACAGTAGACAAAAACACATCAGCCATTCAGGAATAAACACGATTGATGAGGAAGAAACTTTCCTGAAGTTAATATTCTATGATTTCCAAATAAAGCATTCTCTGAATCTCATCATTTTCCTATGACTTTCTTCTGCTAGTATAATCTAAGTATAATTCTTTTGTTTTAATACTTTTTTCAGCAATGTGATTTTTCCTCTCATTAAAGTTTTAAGAACTATGGATTAAAGCTATTTCTCAGATTCTTCTTACTTTTACTTAAATGATTCATCTGCATAGTGTATAATTTCATAAAATTGTCAAGGCTAAACAAATATTTTTATTGTTTTAAAATTTATAACATAATTTGTTATAATTTACAACTTAGAAAACTTCTGACTTACCCAGTAATAATAATTTCTGGGTAAGTTTGTGCTCCAAGATTCCAAGCTCCTCCACTGACTGGCCATTCCTAAGTAGATTATCAAGGAAAATATAGGAGTTTATTTTTTTCCAGTTTAAATGCTTAAGGTTTTAGAATTAAATGTTACAAAATAATAAAAAATATTTAATATCACATCATTACAAAACAGCCAAAGAACAAGTGCATAGTTGTCTTCAATTTGACAAAAAAAATGAACTTACAGAGTCTAGAAATTGGAATAAAACCCAAGACATCCACATCAAGGTATATCATGGCCAAACTTCACAATGGTAAACACCAAGGAAAAGTGTTGAGAGACACAAAAGGGCACAGGCCTCCCGTACATAAAACTAAAGTAATAATGAATGAAAGATTGGATATCAGAAAACCTTGAAGACAGCTAGGATTGCCAACCAGAGCCAGGCACACAGTCACCACAATGGGAAGCAACATGTCTGAATACTTGGCTGATGTCACGTGCCAGCCCTGCCAGGCCCAATTGTCCTTACAGAGCAAGTCATCAACAGCAATGGGGTACTCTACCAGGAGCAATGCTCTGTGTGTGCACCGTGCCTCTGGCTCTGGTATGAGTTTGAGAGCCAGCAGTACTGCAAGCATCACTTCCAAATGCTGTTTGTTCCATGCTGTCGATTCTGTGGTAAGTTTCTGACTTGGGCACATGATAAAGGCCATGAAGTTGGTGGATTGGCATCCAGGTTCTTTCCATTGTGGACTGTTTTGTGGAGCTAGGTGACCTGAGCTTTGTGAGGACTGCTAGGATACCTCTGCTGGCCCTGCCACAATTCATCTGCCAGGGGTATTTCCTGGCCATTGGTGAGCAGCTCCTCATATACAAGAATGGCGCCTATCACCTAGACCACCTTAGTTGCTTCCACTGGGGAAGGAGCTGACCTCCATCCAAACCCAAGAGCTGAAGCATGCCACCGCTCTACTGTCTGCCTTGTCATGATGATATTAAACAAACAGATCTGTAAATGTAGAATAACAACTCCTTTAAAAGTATATTTTAACAAATATTACCACTTATACAAGCCAGTAAGAGAAGTATTTTTATTTGGATAAATACAATGTTGCACCATATGCCATGTAGTATGTGTTGCCAGCAAGCTATTGTATCATTTAACACCAGAACAGTATGGAAATAGTGCTTCTTTGAATTGTATATTTTAGTTATCCTGGGCCAATTACATAAACCATATTAGAAAGTTTGTGATAATTATAAATATTTGTATTTTAAATACTTTAAAGAAAAAGTTCATTATGTTAGCAACAAATGTTTTAATAATTATATCTTTCAAATGATAAATTAAGGAAGAACTGATTCTCAAATTTCTTAAAATATGATCCATGTAAAAGAAACAAAGGGTGCTTATTATGACTCTGATACTTTATATATGTAGTATAAAATAAGCATGACTGATAAAGTTTATCTTAGTATGTAATTACATATTTAGTGTACGGGAAATTTATAACTCCATAGGATTAGAGCTATGCCACAGTCATGAAATTGAATTTCACTCGTTACATCTTTGACGGTGTCCTCTTACAGCCTCGGAAGTTTTATTTGAGTCATCTTGTGTGCAAAATCAAGACAAGGTAGGAACAAAAACAAACCGTCAGATAAAATGACAAAAAAAAAGCTTGACCATACATACAAATACGGAAAAACTTTACCTTATTACTGTATCCTTGCTTTTTATGCTTGACTCCTATAGAATAGAGTACTAGAATCAAATCTGGAGGGCAATCGGCAAAATATGCTGTGCATGTAACTGGTGACTCATGAATGTCCATTGGGTATGGATTTTCAAAGATTGGAAAACTAATAGATAAAGACAATATATTAGAGTCACTCTGCAAAGATAAAACATGAAGTAATTTTCATAATCAAACCCTAAAATGTTTATAAACATTATAAACTTCACTCTTTTTAGCACCATAAAAATCATTTTATTTGAATACTTTAAAAATATAATTATTCTATAAAATGAGATGTTAATAATGATAGAAATTAATTTCCTTTCCAGGCTTCCAACATGCCATAATGACATGCTCTGTTAATATAAATACAATAACCGTATTAATCTAAAATATATACAATAAGCCTGATGTCCTAAATGTATACCATCTATTTAAATATAACTTTAAATATAATACACTATTATACCATCATACTATTTAAAGGTATAATACAATTAATATATTACAATTAATATACTGTTTAAAGATGCTTTAAAAAGTAAAACATTTGTAAATTTTTATTTTTTCAAAGAAATACATAAAAATTTTAAAACATTTGTGGTAGAAGCTATAAGATATATATGGGTTCTGGAGACTGAACTCAGGCTGTTAGGCTTAGTGGCAGGTGCCTTTATCCACTAAGCCATTCTATTAGTGCAAGAGTTCTTTCTGCCAATCTGAAGTGCTGCAAAGAGAACGGTGTTTCACATCAGCACAGTAGCATAGGTAAAAGCAAATGGGGAGGAGCAAATCATATTTAATTAATGACACGTGGGTAAACTTAGCAACTCATTCAGAGTACAAATTGTTAATTGTATCATTATTTTTTTCCTCTCTTATTGAAAACAGATTTTTTTTTCATATAATATATCCTGATCATTGTTAAGGTTGAGTAGTTAGGGGGAAAGTAAGAATGAATCACTTTAAAGACCAGACCTACACTTGAATTAGACCACAGCAGAAAGGAACAATAACAAGCTCCTAAAATAGTAACAACACAGTGAAGGTATTTGGGAAACATTATTTTAGACTATAGGTAAAGAGCAAGCACAATATATGGAAGAAAAACACAGCTTAGGCATTGAATTTTTTATTCTGAACCCAGAGCCTTTCACATGTTCAGCAAGTGCTCTACCACTAAACTTCATCCCTACCACAAGTCCTTAGATGTAAACATATGAAGTGAAAATAAAAGCAGAGGCAGAATGGAAGGATCAAGTGGGGAGGGGGAAGAAGAGATTGTGGGAGGATAAAAGGGGAGAGAGACTGTAAAATAAGGAACCTTTGAGGGGTAGCATGAAACCTAATACCGCAGAAACTTCCTGAAATATATACATATATGAAGGTTACCTAAATGAAATCACTGAGTTATGGGGAGACAGAGTCCCAACTGGCTAACTTTTGTCACCAAATAAAAGTTTCAGTACTGAGATTGGGTTGTTAAATTGTAGGCCAAAGGGGCCCCACAGAAATCCCCCAAACAACCCAGACTGTTGCAAGACTATAGGTTGCTCTCCAGAAACTGACAGCAAGACCCCATTGCTGAAGATTGTAACATGAGCGGCTGGCTTGTTTGTTGGGGTTTCTGTCCTGCCAGGTACCCCCAGCTGTTTAGTACCTGAAAAATCACACATAGGTCTCCATAAATTATAAGCTGATTGGCCCATTAGCTCTAGCTTCTCACTGGCTAACTCTCACATTTTCATTAACCCATTTTTCTGATCTATGTTAGCCATGTGGCTCAGTACCTTTTTTTCAGTGGGGCAGATCACATCCTGCTGCTTCGGTGGTCTGGACAGCAGTGGGAGTAATCAGCTTCCCAGAATTCTCCTGTTCTCATTACATCATTTCTACTTCCTGTCTGGTTTTCCCGCCTATATTTCCTGCCTGGCCAATCAGCATTTATTTATAACATGATTGACAGAATATAGACAATTCTCCCACACCAGAAGATAACATCTACACACACACATTTTATACACACACACACACACACACACACACACACACACACACACACGTCAAACTGGTGCCTACATAAACCTTTGCTCTACATTTCAGCATCTTTCGTACAGGAAGGTACTCTGTATGCTAGGCAAAAGAAAAATGTAAACATCAAGCCAGCTACAAACCCTTTATCTACAATGGTGTACTATGTCAAGGCAATGGTGGCACAAAGCTTGTAGGAATAACCAACCAATAACTGATTTGATTTAAGCTCTACTCCACAAGATGGAATCATGCCCAACACTGATAGCCCAGAGACCTATACTAATCCTAAATAATACTGGTCTAAAAACATTTTAAGTGTAGTAATAAAATGACTCCTAATGATAGCCTGCTATATTTATAGATTAGTGCCTCATCATCAGAGAAGCACTGTCCTGTGGTAGATGGGGAAAAAAAGGAGACCCACAGTCAGGCATTTTGCAGAGAAAGAGAGAACTTGGAACAGTCAGCCCTAAATCCCTCCCTCAGAGCTCAGGGAACCCTACAGAAAAGGAGACAGAAAGAATGTAAGAGCCAGATGGGGTGGAGGACACCAAGAAAGCAAACCCCCTAAATGAGTATGATCAAAGATCATAGGAACTCAGAGACTGAAGCAGCATGCACAGAGCCTCACAAGTCTGCATCAGGTCCTCTGTGTATATATTATGGCTTCTAATTTAATGTTTTTGTGGGGTTCCTGAGTGTGCGAAACAGTATCTTTCTGGTTTTTATGCCTTCTTTTGAGCTCTTTTCCTTCCATTAGTTTGTCTTGTTGAACTTCAATGTGACAGCTTTTATTTAATTATATTTTATTTTACATTATTTTAAAAAGTAAATGAATGAATGGATGGATGGATAAATAGGTAGGCACTAAGGTAAAGGTTAACAACTGGACTGCCATTTGTATCTGCTAGGAGAGGGAAAAAATTAGTTTTCTCCAACAGAGTGACATTGGATATATCAACCACTGATGTGGGAGTGTCACATATCAATCTGTTGATTTCATTGGTTAAGCAATAAAGGAACTCCTTGGTCCTGATAGGTTAAAAGATAGATGGGAGGAGGAAACAGAATAGAATTCTGGGCGGAAGAGGAAGTGAGGTCAGAATCTGCTCAGCTCTCCTGGAGAGACTCTGCTCTGCTCCTGGACAGTCTCGACAGCTCTGCTGTGGAGCAGAGACGCCATGCTCAGCTCTCCCGGGTAGACGCGATAGCTCTGCGCTCTGAGGCAGACGCATGAAGCTGAGACCCACGATGGACATAGGCTAGAATCTTCCCGGTAAGCGCACCTTGGGGTGCTTACACGCATCATTAGAAATGGGCTAGTCCAGGTGCAAGAATTAGCCTGTAAGGGTTAGAGTTCATGGGCCAAGCAGTTCTTAAATGAATACAGTTTGTGTGTTGTTATTTCGGGCATGAGCTAGCCAAGCGGCCGGGGTGTTGGGGACGCAGCCCCGCCGCTCCTATTTCAACAAACCACTCTAGGAAAGGTCTCATGCTCAAGATTAGTAGACCACCACGTAATGGACCCTACAGGTGTGTGTGTGTGTGTGTGTGTGTGCTTTTATTTTGTTACAGTTTGGTGAGTGTTTTTTGGGGGGGTGTTTTATTTTGTTTCTTGTTTTGGGGGCTTGCTGTTGTATTGGGTTTTTGTTTCCTTTTTGAGAAAGAACTTAAAGTTGGATAAATGGGGAGGGGGAGAAGATCTGGAAGGACTTGGGGGAGGGGGAGAATATATCAAAATATATTTAAAGTTAAAATTGCCTTAAATAATAAAATATAATAAAAAGTTATAACTTCCCAAAAGAAAATCTAAGAACCAACAAAGATGGAAGAATTGTTCATCATCATGCTTGCCTTCATGTTGGGGAAGAATGAAAGAGTGAATGTAGAGGATGCAGTAAAAGGAGGGTGGGAGGGGGGAGGGAGAGGGTGGAGGAAGTAAACAGGGAGAGAGCACTCTAAAGTTGTAACTTGTTTAACATCAATGTGGTTGAGGGAAATAAAACATTTCAAATTTGATATTGGAATTTACATAAGTTTTAATCGTGCTATCAAGGTAAGAAATTTTTTTTTGCCAACAAAATGTTTATTCACATATTTAAGATGATAAGAAGCATAAGAACAAGGTCTGCAGAAATGACTCTGGATAAGAACATTTATTTCTGAAAACAGGAAGATCTTACTCAGTCTGAATCCCCAGCACTGAGATTTAAAGCTGATCACACCAATAACCCCAGCAACCAGGGGGAAAAATGGGTCAGTCTCTGAACCTTGCTAACAACCCACCTAGCAAAGGCAGCAAGCTTCCGGTTCAGAGGAGAGTCTTGGCTAAAGGTAGTAAGAAGGATAGTGATAGGAGAGGATGCCCAAGGACCAACTCTTGGTCTTCTACTTACATGAAAATTCAATGCATGCACCTGTATACTCACAAGCATGTACCACGTACCACACACAGAGACAGAATAAGAATAAATAATTTTCTACTGCTATGAATCATAATGAAAATATCTGATATGCAATCCCCAAAGGGCTTTCATTATATTTATTTCAGTTAATTTTAATTTACACTTTTATTCCAATTGTTGAGTGGTTTGTTGTAACTTGTACCTTTCATGAATAGGTTTCTACTACTGTCCATTCATTGTATGACCTATTCTATAATATTGCCTCTATTACTTATTACTCTTCCAGCACTTATACTTTCCCTCTAACTTGTACTTTGTTCCTCCCGACTCCCATTTTTGCAATTTCTTCCTCCTTGTACTTCATAAATTTTAATACTCTTACCTTGAAAACTATAAATTACCTTTTCCCCTAGGGGTACCCTGTGTCTCTGTTTCTGATAGAAACATAAGTAATAAAGTATCTGTTACTACTTGCTAGAATTAGGATTGCAGTCAAATATCAATTTTCTGTTAACTTCAGTCAATTTTCTTTGAAATATCCCTAAAAAACATAATCTAATAAAATGAGGCAACAAAAGAAAAAAGGAACAGAACAAATGCTGCTCTCAGACTTAAACAGAGATGTTTCTGTGTAGTGGATAATGGCAAATGCAGAGATTCACAGTGCTTAGAACAAGTGACTGCT